AAATAGGAATAATAAGGCTGCTCGGAATGGGCCGCCGATAGCCTCAGGAATGCTCGTCTTCCTTTTGCTCCAATATCTTGCTATAATGCATTGATACAAAACAAAGCGGGAAAAACAACTCCTCTTCCCTGAGTCTGACCATCTCCTCCCATTATCCTTCTCTGGATGATGTTTCGCCATCTTCCTCTGTTCTTGGCGGTGTGTGTGTGACATCGTAGACTGTGGTATCCAAAGTGGTGCGGATTTGGTCGGAACAGCGTACTGGATTGCGGCCACGAGGTAAAATTTTTTTATTTAATTTAATTTAATTTTAGAGCAAAAGGACACCAGGAAAAAAGTAGTGCAGATTCAAACGATGGTCATAACATTTGGCATTTTGGTATCGGCATATAGTAGCACTACCAGATTTCTTCGTATGGGTGAATGGGTAGCAGCATTTTCTGAGTGTTATAATAATAATAATAATAAACCATTTATTTCTTGCTTTTACGAAGCTTTTTAAAAATAATAAATATAAATTTATGTATTAATATTTAGGATGCAAAATAAGAGGGTTTTGTAATGAAACAGTTGTTGTAAAATTTAGTTAGCGAGAAGCCCGGATTGGGTAAAGGTCTCGTCCCAAGATGCCCGGGCGTCGCTATCCTGTACTACGTCTATCCAGTTTAGGCTAGTTCGTTTGAGGTCGTCTTCCCATCTGGTTAGTGGTCTCCCTCGACTTCTCCTGCCCGTTGGGCCGCTCCAAGATGTTACTCTTCTGCAGTCCATCTCTGGTCTGTATAGATCGCGACATGGCCAGCCCATTTCCATTTTAGTTTTAGTGCATAAATTAGGGTGTCGGTCGCGTTAATGGTTTTTCTTATCTTAGTATGTCTTACCTTATCCATCTTCTTTATTTTGAGCATACTCCTTTCCACCCCCCTATGACAGGTCCTGATTTTGTTTGTTGCTTTAGAGGAGAACTTCCACGTCTGGCACCCATACGTCAGACATGGTAAGAGACTAGAGTTCATAACTTTTGTTTTAATGTCTGTGGGCATATTACTTTTGAAAATTTCTTTTAGGTTCCAAAATTTATTCCATGTTGATTGAGCCCTTCTTTCCATTTCTAGTATGTCGCTATTTTTGGCAAAACTTAGCAATTTTCCCAAGTATATGTATTTCTCAACATATTCTAGTGGCTCTCAATTGATTATTATAGGGTTTTTCCATCTGTTGTTGGTCATTATCTTGGTTTTAGTAAGGTTCACCTCGAGCTCCACCTTGGGACTGGCTTGGTGTAGAGTCTCTATCATGCGTTGTATCTAGCCGGCCGTCTCTGACAGAAGTGCTAGGTCGTCTGTGAACCTAAGATGACTTAAATATTCATCTTTTATACAATGTCCTATTCTGTGAAAGTCCAGCTTGCCAATGATGTTTTGCAGGATTGATATAAATAGTATTGGGGGAATGGGGTCCCCCTGTCTTACTCGTCTATTAATGGGAAAACGTGGGCCGATGGACTCGAGTTTGATCCTTCCTTTATTGTTATTGTATATACTTTGGATAGTTTTTATATATAATTCTTCAACTCCTTGCTCTGCCAAACTTTACCATATGCTGTTGTGCGAAACGGTGTCGAAAGCTTTTTGGTAGTCAGTAAAAGTTATACATAGAATTCTCTAGCGTTCTTGATATTTTTCTATTATTAACTCTATTGTATGGATGTGGTCAATTTTAGAAAAGCCTTTTCTAAAGCCCGCTTGTTCTACTGGTTGTTTTGTTTGTAATGTTTTACTTATTCGTGTTTTAATAATAGTAGAGAACAATTTGTAGAGGCTAGGAAATAGGCTGATTGATCTAAAGTTGCCAATATTTTTAGGGTCTCCTTTTTTATATAATAATATAATGTTTGCTTCTGACCACTGAGTGGGAGTTACAGAGTGTTGGAGTAACGAGTTAAAGAGTATGGCTAACGGTGCAGCCAGAATTAATTGAGCAGCTTTCAGTGCTTCGTTTGTAATGTTGTCGGAGCCTTTTTTTTTTTTTGGGTAGAGGGCCGAACCTGCTACGAGGTCCCCGCGCAAAAGGGGCGCGCGGGGTATGTGAGACTCTACGATCTGCATGATGTTGTGAGCAGACCGCGGGCCCAAGGATTTTAGGGCCCACCCACTAAACGACTCCCCTGCACTCTTACACCCGACGTCCGATCCCCTCCGAGGTCAGAACCCGGATGAGGTAGGGGGGTTACCGCGGTCAACACTACAACCAGACGGCGCGGCTCACCCTAAGGACGCCCAGCCGACGGAGCCTTCGAGGCGAATCGAAGGCTCTGAAACGTCGGCCGTCTCGGTACGGCAGCCCGTCGGGCCGCCCAGACGGTGCCGCTGGTGTCCCGGAATACCCCGCTGGACCAGAACCAGCCTGTCGGGTCGGGACGCGATACACCGTCGACCGGTCGCTCTATTTACTCCACGGCAGCGCGCTAGAGTGCTGGTAGCGCGCCGCGCGGCCTCACACCCTCAGGTCGCCCCATGACCTTCACCGGGGGGAGGCCGCTACCTACAGGGGCCGGGACGTACGGGCGTATTCCCGCCTCCGGCCCCCGACTCGACGGCGACGGATCGGTGCGGAAAGGGAAGAGCTCTCCCTCTCTCGCTCCGCCGCCTCCTTCTGCGAGATGTGGACTCGCAGAAGTCGACCATCGCCTTCCAGGACGCCTCGCTGCCGAGCATCGTATGTTGTCGGAGCCTGGGCTTTTTTCAAGTTTCAGTTTTTTATTGTTTCTATAACTTCGGTTTCATTCATTCATTCATTCATTCATCAACAGCCCATAGTCGTCCACTGCTGGACATAGGCCTCTCCCAATCCACACCACTGAGCCCGGTCTGCGGCTCTCCTCATCCACTTCTTGCCGGCTTCATTGATTTCTGTATATTTTCTGCACGTAATTCGAATAATAACTGGTTTTTGCTAGTAAGGCGTTTTGTTAGCACTCACAATTAGGTACCACTATACTGCCTCATTCGCAATGCAGTGTGGTTTAAATGGTAAGACAGCTATTATACAATTGAGACTTAGACCTCTTCTCTCAAGATTGGTGGCGGCATTCACGTGGTTGTGTTGTGGGGGGTAGCTATCACAGAACACAAGAAATTTGACAGATGCAAGAATCTCGCTTACGACATTTTCAAGATAAGCTTGTATATACAACAACATGTGGACCGTCGGTCTACCGAGAAGTATCACCAGCTCGATGGAAGATCTTCCCTTTATACCTTCCAGGGTTTTTTTTTTTTTTATTGCTTAGATTTGTGGACGAGCTCACAGCCCACCTGGTGTTAAGTGGTTACTGGAGCCCATAGACACCTACAACGTAAATGCGCCACACACCTTGAGATATAGTTCTAAGGTCTCAGTATAGTCACAACGGCTGCCCCACCCTTCAAACCGAAACGCATTACTGCTTCACGGCAGAAATAGGCGGGGCGGTGGTACCTACCCGTGCGGACTCACAAGAGGTCCTACCACCAGTAATTACGCAAATTATAATTTTGCGGGTTTGATTTTTATTGCACGATGTTATTCCTTCACCGTGGAAGTCAATCGTGAACATTTGCTGTGTACGTATTTCATTAGAAAAATTGGTACCCGCCAGCGGGATTCGAACACCGGTGCATCGCTCGATACGAATGCACCGGACGTCTTATCCTTTAGGCCACGACGACTTCAAAGGGTGTCTTTAGATCCGGTAACCAAACATGGAATGGTAGCATATTTAGCAGCAGACGATTTCTTGCCGTAAATCAATCTCGCGTTCTGCTTCGAAAGATGGGACAGCCGTCAAACAATACATAAGTAACGATATACTAGGCCATCCTGTATTTTATTATATCTAAAATCACCATTGGCGATAGCCGGCAGCAGGTCAATAAATCACTACAAATTTATACGTAGATTTGCTAATTAATTTATATATTTAAATGAAGCTGGTTGAACTTTCCACCCCGAATACGTTAGTTCGCAAATGAAATGTAATCAAGAAAACTATATATTAAACTAAAGTATGTTTCTACATATGGTAAGGCACGTTATTGATTTGAAGCGATCTGTACCAATATCTTGGCTAATTCTGCCGCGAAGCAATTGCGCTTCGGTTTGAATGATGATGAAACTAACATCTATGAAGCTCTGAGGACCACAATGCTAGGAACTGTGAGCTTTGTCACTTTTCTACGCCAAAAAAAAAGTAAAAATGATCTTTGATTGAAGATTTATTTTCGAACTGTGTAGATACTAGAGTATACGCAATACCAAATTCCTGAAATTGTAATCCGTGTTAACTAACTCTCTTTTTTCACCTACCTATTCACTGGTTGCCTAAGGGGCTATCCCATCTACGACCGAACGGATAGGTGAGCTCACGGGCTCAACCTGAGCCTGAACCTGAACCTTGTCAACAGCCCTATTAAGAGCAGTTCGTCGCAGAAAGACCACCAGATCGGAATCGCGACCTACTAAGAAGATCCGGCAAGAAACTTTTGTTTTTATGATTGAAGGATTACTGGTGGCCCGGAGGCCTTTCCAGTTTCACCAGGACAGGCAAGAAACTCAGTGGGCTGTGTCTATGGGTCGTAATTCTCGAAACCAACACGTTTTATGAAAAGACAAGCCGCATTATCATTCGCGAAATACAATTTATTACTTACGATTTTATTATTAACTAGCTGACCCGGCAGACTTCGTAGTGCCTCAATCGATAAATAAAAGACCTAAATTTTTGTATAAAATAAACAAAAGGAATCCGTCCGACGGGGGACACATCAAAGGGAAAATAAATATATTATTTTTATTTAATTCCGAGCATTTTCATATTTATCTACCTTTTAAAGCTTCTCTGGACTTCCACAAATAATTCAAGACCAAAATTAGCCAAATCGGTCCAGCCGCTCTCGAGTTTTAGCGAGACTAACGAACACCAATTCATTTATATATACATATATTAAAATAGTTGTACTCACCCGCTCTATCGTAGAACACTGTGTGGTAATATTTTCGGAGCCACTCCATTCTTCACGTCTTCGAGTAAGTACTTGGAGTAAATAAGTCCAGTTACTTATGTAGGTTTGCGTTAAATTATTCATATACAGCGGGTACTATAATGGAATAAAGCGGGGAAAAAATAACTAAATAAAAAGCATCGACTGTTAGGGTAATATAACGTATTGCCAGACCACACGGCTTACCCCACAACCTCCAGTAACCACTTAACACCAGGTGGGCTGTGAGATCTTCCACCCATCAAAGCAATAAAAAAAATACTTCGCAACTCATGCGCCTGCACTGATTTAATCATTGCTATCGATATAGACGTCTTAGGAAGACGAAAGTGGTGTCATTTGAAAGCTAACAATGTAGACAATCAATTTATAATACATTTTATTCAATATCTTTTTCACAAAATAAAAAAAAAAGTATTAATAAAATAAAAATTCTAATTTTTTATTGCGTTTTTTTTATTTTTTTCATGAAAACTAACCCTGTCAAGCAAAATTTTTTTAATTGTTTTCTCATAATACAGGATATTTTCATCAAATAATCTTTACATCAAGCCTTAGGTAAGATAGTTCAAAAGTTGCCGTGATTTAAATGACACATTGTATAATGCAAAAAAAGGAGCCACCAGTATTGGATATTTTAAATGAAATTGGTTTGGACTTTATTTAAACGATAAACTTGTTTTACATAAAATTCAGCTTCACCGATAATTATCGATTTAAATATAATCAATACTTACTATAATACGTAATCAGCTTTAATTTATAATAATTTATTTATGGCTTACATACACGAATGAATATTATAAATATTCAATTATTACGAGCTAGGTGTTTCCCACGGTTTCACGCGTGCTGTATTTATATTTCTGACAAATAAAACTAGTTGCACTCTCTCAGGACACGATGGTTCTTGTGTCACTATCAGTCAATGTCTAGATACAGTAGATAAATTACTACATCGAATTTTGATAAAGATAATCAGATGTTCCGTAATTAAAATAAAACAATCTAAGTAAAAAAATATTCAAGATCCACACCGCGTCTTATTAATAGTAATGATTTTTTTTTTACTTTTTTGTTATTGTCCTTGTAGGCAGACGAGCAGCAAACGGCCCACCTGATGGTTTTTTTTTTATTGCTTAGCTGGGTGGACGAGCTCACAGCCCACCTGGTGTTAAGTGGTTACTGGAGCCCATAGACATCTACAACGTAAATGCGCCACCCACCTTGAGATATAAGTTCTAAGGTCTCAGTATAGTTACAACGGCTGCCCCACCCTTCAAACCGATACGCATTACTGCTTCACGGCAGAAATAGGCGGGGCGGTAGTACCTACCCGTGCGGACTCACAAGAGATCCTACCAGCAGTAAAAATGGTGGTGAGTGGTTACCGTCGCCCATTAACTTCAGCAATGCCAGAGGCAGAGCCAAGCCGCTTCCAATGAATAGGAAAGTTGTAAAAGGAAATCGATTGTCCCGAACCGGGTTAATAGATTTAGGATAAAACAGCGTGTAAAAAGAGTGTGTAACGCCAAAATAAGAGTTCCATTAATATGGATCGAATTCCTTCTAAGGTAATAATTTTGCTAATTTATGTATTATTTATTATCTTTTCTAGTCAAAAGAGAAGATGACAAGAGGCGTGAGACGTGGCTGCGTGAGACTCCGAGCGGCTGTCATCGGTATAGATGATGAAGATGATTCAACATTCACGATTACCGTCGATCACAAGACTTTTCACTTTCAGGTATGATAGTCTGTATGTACCATTGTATTTCCTTGCAACACTAAGATTAAAAAATCAAGAGACAATTATTGTAGAAACTGCACAAATAAATAAACACAACCAGGTGGGCTGTGACCTAAATATAATAAATATGGTCGTTCTGATATTTGGAAAAAACCTTTCGTTACGAAACTTGCAATGTAAACATTTGTACGTTTTACTGATGGTATACTAACCAATTGGTAGTTTAAAACTAAATACGAAATTCAATATTGAGTTGAAAAGAAAAAAAGACACATGGCTCTAGTGAAGATACACCAAAACCGGCCTAAGTTAGAATTCCTAGATTAAGAAATAAGTTGGAAGCTAATTGAATTGGGTTATTTGATTGCATAGATTGCACCCAATTTAGGCAGAATCTGGACTGGGCAGGATAGTATACGATAAAGTTATTTTGGCCTAAAAGTTAAGATGCCCTGGGCACTAGTCTATCCTGCTATGCGACCGTGCTGGTTCTCAAATCCCGCCGGAAGGTACCATTTTTTCTAATGAAATACAAACTAAGCACATCTTGACGAGTGACTTCCCCGATTATCGAAAAATATCGTGTAACCAAAACGGAACTGTCAATAAAATGAATCTGTGTAATTACTTACACTAGGGCGCTATTGTAAGACCTAATAGAGAGGTACCATTATATCATCTATATCTTTCACAAAGCAGTCAGTATTTCCGATCAGAAAGTTAGGAAAGCCGTTATACAATAATATCTTTGACAAAGTCTTAAGGTGACGGAATTGACAGTGACACGGAGCCTATAGACAGAGAATGTCTATGGGCTCCGAAAATGACGTGGCTTGTGGGTCGGTTTACCAGTCTATGCAATTAAAATGTATCTTTCGTGTTCTTCAGGCGAGAGACGGCGCTGAACGCGAGCGTTGGGTGAGAGCATTAGAAGACACTATATTGAGGCATGGTAGACGAGAGAGATGGTCCCGATGCGTGCCGGCCCCTAGACACAGACACGGCGACTTGGAGAGGCGCATAGCTGAGGCCGACGCGTATCTACAGATCATGATTGAACTCGTATCTGTAAGTATGAACTTCGTTACTGACCATCCACCGGGTTTTATACTCAACTATCTACATTGGCCAACTTTATTATCCGACGTGTTTGGGTATTTTCTTCCTACCTAAGCTGAGAGCCTTGAGAGGCTATTTCAGCGTAACCTTAACTAGTAGGTGAGCTCGCGGGGCTCAAACCTGACGACATTGCTAACACGAACCCTAGCAAGAGCCGTGCTTCGCAGAATCTACCACCGGATCGGAAACGTGACCCACTGAGAAGATCCGGCCAGAAACTCAGTGGACTGTGTCTGAGGGTTTTATCCGACTGCGACGAGGCAACGCAAAGCCGCCGTCGCCTAGACAAGTCTTGTCGGATCCCCCAGATTCAGTCTTGCTTCTTTTAGGAATTTCAAACACCGGTCATCGTCCTCGTTGAACTCGTCGATTAAGAGTTCGACGAGCAAGCTAAACGATAGACACAGCCCACAGTTTCTCGCCGGATCTTCTCAGTGGGTCGCGATTCCGATCCGGTGGTAGATTCTGCGAAGCACGGCTCTTGCTAGGGCTAGTGTTAGCAAATTGTCTCAGGTTGAACCCGTGAGCTCAGCCCGTGAGAGCCCGATAGCTAGGGGAAAAAAGGCAAACATTTTCTAGCAATTGGCTCCGACACTAGTAAAAAAATAATCTCAATGCTTTTTTTGTATTCACAGAAAATGAACACAAGGGTATCGGAATTATCAGACCCTCAAGAGAAGGGTAAAGGACAAATTATTCTAGATCATTCTAATGTAAGTGCGTTTTAATTTAACTTCTTAAACATAGTGCCTTGAAACGGCTCTTGATACCAAAATACGTGGTTATGCTGCTAAAATAAATAAAAAAATACTTACGTCACTTTTAATATTATTTGCCCATATTATTTGACGCGCAATGTAACGCTAATAACATTAATAGAACGTCTTTCAGCGGACGGCGATGTATATAGTGGGTTCACCGATATTCAAAATATTAACAAGCTATTTTTAATTTAAACTAGGATCAGTTCGTCAGCTTCGATTGAGGAATATTTTTTTTTATTTATTGCTACATGGGTGAACGAGCTCACAGCCCACCTGGTGTCAAGTGGTTACTGGAGCCCATAGACATTTACGACGTAAACGCGCCAACCACCTTGAGATATAAGTTCTAAGGTCTCAAGTATAGTTACAACGGCTGCCCCACCCTTCAAACCGAAACGCATTACTGCTTCACGGCAGAAATAGGCAGGGCGGTGGTACCTACCCGCGCGGACTCACAAGAGGCAGTAAAAATGTAGTAATTATACAGCCAGTATTTAAATAAATAATCCAACTAAAAAATAGAAAATAAATTTTAATAGATTTGAATTAAAAATAGTGTAAGAAAAAATTATTTTATTGTAAAAAAAGCGTGGGTTGCTTTTCAGGATATTTTGAAAACATACATACGTCTGAAAGTAATAAAAGCGTATTCAAAATAATTATTATTAATAATCCTCCTCCAGGCTCCAAACTAAGACTCCGTGTATTGTGGGAACCAGACACTGATAAACATTTATATAAATTTAAATGTATATAAATATATATTATATATATTAACAAGGAATAACACTCTAAATTATATTTAGCTAAAACTAAGTCCAATGTTGTTCCTTGTCACTATATAGATATTTAACACCCATACAAAGAGCAAACAAACTTATTATTACTTATTTTTTCGACATATCTCAATACAACATTGTATTATTTACTACATACTTTTATCACACAGGCAATGCTGGACAACATCAAACATTCCATCGTGCTACTACAAATAGCAAAGGTGAGACTGGGAACTTTTTTTTTAGTAGTTTTAATGAAGTCGTCGTGGCCTAAAGGATAAGACGTCCGGTGCATTCGTATCGAGCGATGCTCTGGTGTTCGAATCTCGCAGGCGGGTACCAATTTTTCTAATGAAATACGTACTCAACAAATGTTCACGATTGACCTCCACGGTGAAGGAATAACATCGTGTAATAAAAATCAAACCCGCAAAATTATAATTTGCGTAATTACAGGTGGTAGGACCTCTTGTGAGTCCGGACGGGTAGGTACCACCGCCCCGCCTATTTCTGCCGTGAAGCAGTAATGCGTTTCGGTTTGAAGGGTGGGGCAGCCGTTGTGACTATACTGAGACCTTAGAACTATATCTCAAGGTGGGTGGCACATTTACGTTGTAGATGTCTATGGGCTCCAGTAACCACTTAACACCAGGTGAGCTGTGAGCTCGTCCACACATATAAGCAATAAAAAAAAAAAAAACCAAAAAGACTTTATAGAAGAGAATTAACTTCTAGTTTATTTTCCGCGTCAGTTTCGATTTCCTCAAGATACTGTAACTATTGTGACGTCATCATCAGTCGGTAGTGACAGAAAAATGTGCACATGTGATTTGTGACGTCATCGGCAAAAAAGTGAACAGATAGCCATGTGCCTACTCTGCCTTGTGCTCATCATCCAAAATCCTCTTATTTTTACCCGCCCCTTTAACTGGTCACGTCCTAAGTTCGTAAAGAACTTGTGTTACAGGTACCAGATATCGGAAATAAATGTAAGACTTTTATTATACACATACTATTACATTACATTTATTATACTTGGGCACATATTTAATATACATCCATAACCCTGGAAAAGAAATTTTTTATACTTAATATACGAATATCTTCCCGTGGCGAGATTCGAACCCGCGACCCCTTGTGCAGTGACCATGTCACTTACCGCTACACCAGACGGTCGTTGACCTCATTTTAATACTGAATTATATGTTATTGACATGAAAAACCTTCTTCGCGCTTTTCATTCTCAGGAACGACAAAAACTAGCGCGCTCGAAGGTCCAAACATCTCTTTAATGATTGATACATGTATTTTTTTTTACATATTATATGTACTTTCATAAAATCTAGACCAAAAATACAATCGATCAAAGAAAATAATATTAAAAAATCTGTTCAGAAATAAGTGAGTTATAAGCGCTTCGAGTTTATGCCTTGTACCAAGAGGGCAATATTTTGTACAGTGACGTGAAAATTTTATGATTAGGATTGACATATTTCGATCTCCACCTTAACACACACCTTTTCACTGGTGGTATCGAATCCCGCAGGCGGATACCAATTTTTCTAACGAAATACGTACTCAACAAACGATCACGATTGACCTCCACGGTGAAGAAATAACATCGTGTAATAAAAAACAAACCCGCAAAATTATAAATTGCGTAATTACTGGTGGGAGGACCTCTTGTGAGTCCGCGCGGGTAGGTACCACCACCCTGCCTATTTCTGCCGTGAAGCAGGAATGCGTTTCGGTTTGAAGGACGGGGCAGCCGTTGTAAGTATACTGAGACCTTAGAACTTATATTTCAAGGTGGGTGGCGCATTTACGTTGTGGATGTCTGGGCTCCAGTAATCACTTAACACCGGGTGGGCTGTGAGATCGTCCACCCATAAAAGCAATTAAAAAAAATTTAGATGTGAAAACATCAGAAATGACATGAGAATTCTTTGTTTTAGAACACCGTGAATCCAGTCAACGGAATTTACCAGGGACCAACGAATCCTTCGCAAACACATATCAAACAAAGTAAATATGAGAACACAAATAGAAAATTAGTTGGCTTAATATAAACATGTATTATACTTTAGTGCGAATGAATCTTTTTGTAGTATCTTTTACGCTTTGATCTCTCGTTTTTTTTTTTTTTTTCGTTTTGGAACGCCTTGTTCTCTACGGAAATTGTTAAATATTCGTAAAGACAAAAACAATATAATATAATGAAAAAAAAAACAATAGATCAAACCGTAAGAGTATTTTTAACAGCTTAATTAAATCTTACTAATTTATGAGGTATTTTCCAATGATTTTGAGAATATAAATGATTTATTGTTAGTTTAGTTAGTTTGGGCACTTGGGAATTTGATAAGAGAGACTCTATGAAAGAAGTAAATTTGAAAATTATCTTAGAATCAGATCGTCCGTGTGTTTCTAGTGCTTAATTAGTTTTTACACTAGTGATTTTATGAAACTATTTAATTTTGTGATGGCTCGTGTAGCACTTTAAGTAATAGAAAAATAACAATACACGCGCACCGTAAATGAGAGCAATAGATTTTGATAAGTTTTAATTAATTGATTCAATCGATAATCATTTTTACTTGAAGAAACTAATATGTGTCCCCCAGTAGTCGAAATTCGACCATAATTATTTTACCTACCTATTTTACCTAATATACCTACTTCTATAATCACAAATTTCGCCAAGGTAATAAACTATAGACAAATAATATTGAAGACATTTTGGTAGGCAGCGGCTTGGCTCTGCCCCTGGGATTGCTGACGTCCATGAGCGACGGTGACCACTTACCATCAGGTGGGCCGGATGCTCGTCTGCCTACAAAGGCAATAAAAAAACTAAAAAAACAATCCATATTAATCAATTCTCAATTTCACCCCAGACTAACAATAAGATTAAATAAGCGTGTGTGTGTCAAATACATGGTAGTGTGTATGATATTTTTCTTAGTGATTTAATGTAATTTACGCATAAATTTAAAAAAATATTAACATTCTGCACTCCTTCTTTGTAAGTGTGGAAAATTTCATAGTCCTCCGTCCGCGCAATTTTCGTAAAAAGGGGTACAAAGTTTTTGTCTCACGTATTAATATACAGATATCGAAATGGTAAATATGCATGTGTAAATATAGATTTTATGTATTTGACATTAGTTAGTAGACGAGAGATAATTTGTGAAGACAACTTAGAATCAAACGTTAGATAGTTAAAGAAACGAATACAGATAATCAAACCATCAGCGCCATCTAGTTTATTTTTATTAACTTATATTCTAATGTTCACGAGGTGCATTTAAGTTATGCATGCAATTCTGCAGCTGACTATACAGACTTCCGTTTACAATTTTGTAATAAAATAGATAACGTTGAAGGTATAAATTAGTTTAGACCGAAAATATTAATTCAAGCTTAATACATAGGCGATGACTTTATTACCTCAAAAAAATCTGCTAAAAATTATTTACTAGATTACCTATGATGACAGTTACATTTGTACAATTGTTTTTTTTTTTGTTGTTCTTTAGGTGGGGAGATGTCACCACGTGTGGAAATAGGTTCGGAATGCAGAGAGCTGGCAACACCGACACACGACATGCCGGCCTTAGAGGATATAGACACGGCGCGTACGTCTTTCTTACGTTCTTTTTTATCTGCTGAATAAACATCTCTTCGCGTGTTACGTTATAACTATCTTAACGTTTTGCGTAAAGAGATGCATATCTTTGAAATTGAATTCGACCATAGACTACACCTTCGGGTAGTAGCTTCAACAACGTAATCTTAAATGATCCCGCTGTAATATCTGATACGAACTCAAATGATGAAAGTTAAAAATAATGTAATTAATTAATTTGAAGTCATCGTGGCCTGAAGGACAAGACGCCCGAGACCTTACTAGTATTACAACAATACTTTAAAATATTGTTCTCACAAAATTATAGTTGGACACAGTCAAATCTGTAAACGAAAAAATGAAGTCCAAAGTTGTTTTTTAACAAAATATACATATTGAGGGGTGAAAGATTATTTAGTTTAAGCTACATTTTTGTACATTTATTTACAGGCGAGCCATTTAAGGTTAAAATTTGGAGAAAAGATCATAACAAAAAAAAACTTTTTCAGATATATTTTTTTACAGATAGGATCTCTTGTGAAATCGCACGGGTAGGTACCACCACCCTGTTTATTTCTGCCGTGAAGCAGTAATGCATTTCGGTTTGAAGGGCGGGATAGCCGTTGTAACTATACTGAGACCTTAGAACTCATATCTCAAGATGGGTGGCTGCATTTACATTGTAGATGTTTATGGGCTCCAGTAACCACTTAACACCAGGTGGGCTGTGAACTCGTCCACCCATCTAAGCAATAAAAAAATTAAAAAAATAAAACTGTTGTGTCTATAGCTTTAATATTTATCTATAGCTTTCATTTGATATAGTTGTTAAAAATTCACTTTCATATAAAATTTTATACGAAAATGTTTTTACTCGTTAATTCAAAATAGAGTTTTTGCACATAACAGATTTTGGTTTGACAGCGACTATATATCGTTTTCAATTCTCAACTACTTTTTCCTATACCTACCTTGTGTTTAGTACACAGTGGTTTGATTTTATTCCGAACAGGACCCGCCATGTCCTTACTGGTGCCTGACACGTCGTATTCTTCGTCGGAAGGCGAAGACGACTTCTACGACGCTGATGATGAACCGGCCACTTCCATTCAACCAGGTTCCAGGTTAGTTTTAGAATTTAATTTACTATCGAAGCTAGTGCGAGTCTGCTAATGTATTACAAACGGATTGTTGCTATTACATTATATTATATCTATACTTAGCCTGGCCATAAATACTGTTACAAAGGAAAACAAAAAAAAATCTATGGCAAATAACATTTATTACTTTTACGGTGTGTTAGTTTAATACATAAATATAAAACAATTTAAAGTGTAAAAAGCTTATTCGAAGTGGTCTCCATTGGCTGCTATACAGTCCTTTAAACGTTGAACGTGCCCACGTTGCACTCAGTCGACTAATTGGCAAGCTTCCTTAGAGCTTGGAGCATAAATACGGTCATTTTGTTTGTTAAAATGTTGCTCAATTGTAAAAATTTTCTCATCCGTAAACAAAATTTTTCTATGACCTCCCTTTGCGTACCGCTTCAGTAGTTGTTTCGATTTTACCACCCTGTTCTCTTTTAAATTATCAGTTAAGAAATGACCAGTACGTCTCTTATAGGCTGCAAGTCCTAAGTCATCTTTTAAAATACGCGACATGGTTCTAAGTGCTATCTTCATCTCCCGAGATAAAATATTTTGCGTTCGGACAGGATTTCTTCGAATTATTTCCCTTACTGCTTTGACCACCTTTTTCGTACGAACACTACGTGGACGGCCAAATCTTTTCTGTCACAAACAGAGGAAGTCTCATTGCACCTATTAATAGCCCGGTACACAAACATTTTACTAATACCAAGCGTATGATTGCATTTGGCTTCATACCTACTTTGTGTAATGCAATCACAACTATTCGGTTCTCTTTATCACCCCACTCCATTTTAATATCGCAAAATATTGTACAAGGTATTGGCGCCAAAATGAGAAAACTCAATGAGCAATCATATAAAAATGACAGACTCCAAATTCAAATGTAATATTTTGTTTATTTTTAATTGTAACAGTATTTATGGCCAGACTAAATATTTACCGTCAATCAGGGTAGCTTAAGCTTTCCGTTTACATTAGCGCACTTTTACATAACTCTTTTTTTATTTCCAAACGGGATATATTTTACCATAGACTTTGAAATGTTTTAATTAAGAGGCTTATTATTGAACGAAGAAAGCGCGCCAAAATTTGATATTTGTCAGCAAAACTTTTATTTCTTGAGGTTGATTGTGAATTGACTGTGAAGTGGTAGAGGGGCTGACAAACGAAACATCGCTGCAAAGTTTTTTTATATTAATACTCATACTCAAAAGTTTCACAGAAAGGTAAGTTTGTACTTTTCATAATAACTAAAGACTACAGATGTAGTTTTATAAAAAATCAATATGATCTATATTGTCGTTTGTCGTGTTTGTCTTGATTTTAATTCGTTTGTTGAACATTTGTGCTAATATGGGTAACTTTAACCCGGGTAAAAGTTAAAAATAAGCCGGAGAATGTGTCAAGAACTTTCTCAAAAATCCCTTCGAGAACTGTAAGAAGCTTCCACGGTGACTAAACGTCCTATTACTTGTTCTTTATCACCTATTCCTGGTCCTTCGAATATAAAATCGACATACTCAGTCGACCTACCTACCAATCATCTTCCATCACCCACGGTTGAATCCTCATTTAATATTGAAGCTACCGTCTTTCTTACTCCACCACCTACTAACGATATCTCATCACTCATGGATCGTGTTGCAGCATTATCTGAACAATTAGATTTGGATACTGGATCATGGAATGGGGTGATTAGCCACTGTAATTATTTTAATTCTACTGAAGGATTATAACTTTGCTACCTTTTTTATAATTTTAACATGTCACGTTTTTCTAATTATAATGAATAAAGACTGATTTGTAAAAAGATGTGGTGTCGCGGGACACCAGGTAGGAACGAAGTTCCTTCGGCTAATGTAGAATCGACACAATTTGCAAAAAAAGAAATGGTGCTCAATTTTATGTAGGTTTTCTTGGTTTTTCTCTTAAATTTTGCTGATTAGTTTTTATTTAAGTACGCGAAAGTATTTAGGAAATTCAGTATTTTAGGAAATAATAAATTACGTAAAATAAAAAAAATAGTAACTCAAATTATCAATTAAAATAACAAAATATATCTCTTTATTTTTGGTTGACAACATAAAATTACATAGAAATAGAAATAATTACTAAATAGAGAGAGAAGGGATTAGAGAACGAAAAGAAAGAAGAAGAAAGAGAAAGGTATTATACACTACTCGCTTGTGTATGCGACTGTCGCGCCTGCGCACGTCTCATTTAACGCTTTTATTCCACGCACTTTTTTCCACGGATTTTTTCTTACGGTTTTACTATCATATTTTTTTCAGTTCGGTCGCGCAGCAAAATCCCTATCCCCTCCAAGCTTGCCGTAAGGAACTTCGTTCCAATAATAAATATAAGATAAATAAGTTCCTATAAATAAAGGTCCTTTTCAAACACACTGATATTGAATTTTACTGAAAACCCTAAATTTTAAGCTTATTTTTTTGGTAAACAGCTGTCATGAGATGGTGACCTAATTTATTTATTTATAAAAGAAGATCCAATGTTATCATAAGGCTTTAAATGTAAAAATATATCAAAATTGTATTGCCAGTTCTTATACTGGCAATACAACCCGCTCTCAATATAACATTGGCCCACAATTTTTTTTTCAATTTTGTGAGATTTGCACTCTATGGTCATGCAAAATCATTTAAATTTCAATTGTAAACGTTTAAAACCCACGGAAAATCCATATTTTTTTATTAGTATCCAGTAAAACTAAGACAATACATAATACAAAATTGTTCGCATGGCGGAACAAAGTTACCCAGATTAACGTTATTTATCTTATTTTGGCACTTGAAAGCTATTTTTACTAAACGACACGATTACGATATATATTTATATTTCATTAACACGATATATCGTCATCATGTGGGCTTATTAGAAAAGAAGCTACAAAATTGTCATTCACTTTAATTTGTTTCTCAAGGTGACATAAATCAAATTTAATATAAAAAATGACGTTTTGTGAGCTTGAACGGATCGAAGCTCTACCTTTTTTTTTTATTGCCTAGATGTGTGGACGAGCTCACAGCCCACCTGAGTAAGTGCGTCACACATCCCGAGATATAAGTTCTAAGGTCTCAGTATAGTTACAACGGCTGCCCCACCCTTCAAACCGAAACGCATTACTGCTTCACGGCAGAAATAGGCGGGGTGGCGGTACCTACCCGTGTGGACTCACAAGAGGTCCTACCACCAGTAAAAATAATAAAAATAGTAAATATTTCATATATTCGAAATTGTATAATACGACGAATACCATTAAGACATGATATTTTGACCTATGGTGACCCTTTGACATCAGTGTGCTTAGGCTTAATGCGACTTTCCTACCGTTCTTGATAACGTAAAGTTTACCCAATTTTGTATGCAGTTGGACCAGCGCCCCTAGCGGCAAACGTACGCAAACGATCCCATTCCATACGAATATGAGCTAACTTTTACGCTATCGAGAACGTCAAAAAACTCGCACTAAGCACACAGATAGTCATGTATTCAAATAACAATAAAAAACAAATTATTAATTTCCTTCGCCGCTCCGTCTTTTGTAACTAAATCGCCAAATTGAGTCATACTAAAATGAAGCATTGTTCAGCTTATCCCTACAATTTAAATAAACTTCACTTAACACGCAAATATAAACTATAACCTCTTTGAGATAAAGCTTTTATAAGTTAATTCGATCACTGAATGATGAAAAGTTTTCTTCCAAGTTATGTATTGCATCGAAAGAGTGTTTTATTTATAAACAGAACTCTTCTTTGTGTGTGTGTGTAGTCGATTCGTCGGACGAAACAGCAATGCGCCGACGCGCTGCGTTCAATATCCATAGATTTGTTTAGGAACAGAAGAGACAGGATTCCTCTTAAAGTGCCTAGACAATTTCGGAGCTTAACCATTCTTATCGTTCTTGAATGTTCCTCGACTAAGATTTCTATCGCCATTCAGCTTTCTTCTTTTCCCGTCAATTTTGACGTGACAACGTCTTATAATTTGATGGATCCCGCTGCACGCACGAAAAACATGACTTATGAGGCGTTACCTCGCTCTGAGCGTACATGTTTTCGTCAAGTATGAAGTTCAGTGAAAAGTAAATGTGGTGTCAATTGTTTATAGTAACGATAATTGCGATAATTGAAAAATGAAACCATTTCATCAGTATTTTCTTATGATGTTGTCACGTTCAATTATCGTCAGTAAACCGACTTTACAGACAACCGATTTTTTTTTATTATAAGTATTGGTCATATAAATTTGTTACTTTTTTAAAAGGAAATACGTCAAATATAGGTTTTTGTTTAAAATCTTTAATTTTTCGAAAATAGTGCTAAAAACGAAACCTAAAGTATTTTGTTGTACGATATATTTTGAAGTAGCAGTTTTTGGTGTAAATTTATGATGTCATTATTGCGAATCTTCAGTATAACATAATTATTCTAATTGTAATAATTTGTTGGAAATTGGCACCGGAAAATTAATCTTTTTTATTCATTTGTAATAACAAAATATATTATTCTTATCTACCGTTAATTACTATGATAGCTAACTTAAATTATCAAAAAAAATATGTTATCGAAATTCACATTGATCAAATTTCATAATCATTTTAATTACCACTTACAACTGATTGCATGAATACTCATGTTCTTCTTTAATCTTAAGTCACCCGATGCGGAATGTATAAATATCTATTCCACGTTTTCATAATTTGTAAACAGTGCAACATAACCTTATACCCTTCTGTTGTCGGTTAATCTATGTATAGCTCGGGCCCGCACTTCAGTTCAGTGCACAGCGGAACGCGCTCGTTCGCGGACGTTAAGGCGTTGCCACCCGCCGCCGCCCGATCGATACAAACGCTCTACACATAGACAAAAAAGCCTAGGGCTATCAAATCTTGTGCCTAAAATTTTAGAGCCTTTTGCGTGACACTTTCAAAATAACGTACGTGTGTGCCT